GCTCTGAAAATTATAAATTATATAATATTATTAATTATCTTAAATTTATTTACTATGTATTATTTGCCAATAATGCCTTAATAGTTTATATAAGGTCTCCCTCAAACGATAGCTCGCATTAGAGAAAAGTTATAACTTTCCAGTCGATTATTGACGATAATAATATTTTTAACCATATATTACAGTATTAAAGTTTATCATATGTTTCTTGACGATAATGATGTTTTTTTAACTGTATATTACTCTAATATGTCATGGAAGCCACATTCACAACATTTTACTTTTATCCTGTTCGCCACTGATCGGCTCGTTAGCCGCTTGGGCGATCGGTCACGTCTCTGTTACACACTGTTGGCAAGTATTGGGCATGTACTGGCTCCTGAATGTATCTGAACCTGCTCCAGTGTTGGTCAAGTCTGAAATAAGCTCACACTCGGTGCCGTCACAACATTCTCTGGCAGATTGTTCCAAGAATTCACAACTCTCACTCCGAAAAAGTTACCCCTCACAGTTTTCTGGGCTTGTGACTTCTTCAACCTTGAGTTGTGATATCCTTGTTGGGAGAGCGTCGCCAGCTCCAGGTAAGGGCATTCGACTGAGTAGTGCCCCTTGAGGTGCTGAAACACCTCAATTAGGTCACCCCTTGCCCGTCTGTAGTATAAGCTTGGCAATTTCAGGCGCTCCAATCTCTCAGGGTAACTGAGGTGCCGAAGTGCAGGCACCAATCTGGTGGCCCTCCTTTGAACATTTTCAATCAACTGACAGTCCCTAGCATATCTCGGGGACCAGACGGGGTGACAGTACTCCAGATGGGGAAGCACCTCACTCTTGAAGATCGTTACGAGGGACGGGCCGTCTAGATATCTGAACGACCTTCTTATAAGACCCAATAATTTATTTGCCTGGTTTACCTTCTTCTCGTAATGGCCCGAGAACTTCAGCTCATTGTCAACATACACACCTAGGTCCTTCTCACATTCAGTCTCAACTAGTGCAGTTTCTTCATCCCGTTGGGACATATGATTCGCCTCCTTACCGTTGGTACGCCCCAGGTGCATCCTCTTACCACTTCATGACACTGAATTTCAGCAGCCATTTCTTCGACCAGTCCTGGAGCCCACAGAGGTCTTCTGCTGTCATGGTCGTGATGATGGCTAACCTGAAAACCTTAAAGATTCATATTACGCTCAAACGTCCACAAAACCTTCTGAGTTCCCCAGTGGAAACGTCCCCCGTTTTCTCTGTTTCCTCGATGACGTCATCTATAGGCCGTCTTTGTCTAAATGGAACTTTGAATATCATCCGCGGATTTCGTAGCAAGACGCTGTATGTTGGGACCTGTTGCCATCCAACCCTTTGTAATCAATTTAATTTTTGCTTTTGATAGCTCAGTCAGAGCATTGTTAATGAAGATAATAGTAGGGAATGAAACTGAGTTCATAGTCTCAGTTTCAACGTCAGAGTGTACAGTAAATTAATTCATCGAAATAGAAGTAGGTGGACTCCTGACCTATTTTTGGTGGGGGTGCCGCGGGCATTTCAACCTAGTAAGTTGCGCCCCTTCACCCATACAGGTCCCTAACGCAGCCTAGGCCGTGTCTGTAGCGTGGATGTTGTATCCTATGTCTGGGAGATGTCCGAGGTCCAGTAGGATCAGTTACCTTCGTGAGACCCGACCGTCAGACACTTCAGACTACCTATGGGCCCCATAGCTGGCCGTCTGACCCTAACGCTCGGCCCGCGAGGTGACCCCGGATCACCAAGCCACACTACCAGCCCCCATCATTGGTGGATGAGTGTCTAACTCAGTAGGGCTATTTGTGTGGTGGGGTTATTCCACTGGGATCTTCAGAGTTCGTTGGAAAGTACTCCATGGTGGCTGGACCCCATGGCTGTTGCTGAGTATCACTCCTGACGACTGAGTGTTGTAGTGGCAGTGCCCTGGTCTTAATGGTGCTAAGTTACTGTAAGAGTTTGTGTTATTGAGTATGTCCACCCAGTAGTGGTGTGAGTATGTTGGAGCAGGGCATAGTACCAGATTTCGTCTGTTGGTAAAAATATTCTTTCCCCTACCTCCATATTAATGTTTAAATAAATTTTGTATTTGTATATTGTATCTATTATTTACCTACAGTATCTACCGTTATTTCTTCCCTATTACTTGATACTATCATTACATATACCCACGAGCCTCCTCTCGTCACGCTACCAATGGTTATAAGTATTAAAGTAAAGAAAAATGTTATAAGAGGCACGGCCCTTATACTGCAGCTCTTTACAGTCCGCTTGGTTCTTAATTTTCCGAAATAACTTGGCGTCATCGGCAAACATTTGTATGGAGGAGTGTATGTCAGGCTTGTCATTTATGAAACAAACAAACAACAGTGGGCCCAATACACTACCCTGTGGTACCCCACTTGTGACAGGTACGGATGACGATTTCGTGCCATTAATCACCACACACTGCTTGCGGTCATGTAGGAAGTCTTCTATCCACGCTAGGACATTTCCCCGAATTCCGTACCCATCTAGTCTGATTTTTCAGCCTTTCATGGGATACACTGTCGAAAGCCTTGGCAAAATCTAGGTAAATATTGTCGATATTACCACCCCATTCCAGAATATGGGTCCAAATATATCCTATTACTGGTTTTATAATCATTAATAGTGGTATAGTAGTAGTAACGGTATTAGTAGTAGGGTTTCATTCCAAAATTAGTGAAGCATCTTCGCTTAACCCCAGCAGAGAGATCACTCCTTGCACTGTCACCGAGACTGGGAGGAATGGAATTGACCAATCAGAGATTGCTGCGACCGAACATCAAAACTCAGTTAAGTTCACGGCAGCCCCCACTGACCACATAATAGCTCAGAATCGCAACAGCTGAGGTGGATACCAGCGATGTAAACAAGATTGGACGGTCCATTATGACAGAACGACAGCACGGCCAAAGTGATAGGTTGCAGCAACTGTTGCTGCAAGTACCAGAGAATTTGAAAAAAAATTGTAGCTATAGCGCAGGAGGTGGGCGCCCCGAACTGGTTAACTACGTTACCGATAAGGGCAAATGGTTTCAGTCTCAATAAACAAGAATTTACAGATGCCAATACTCTAAGGTACGGTAGGCCAGTAGAAGGTTTGCCCTCCCAATGCGTGTGTGGCTCTTCCTTAACTAATTCCGTGTTGTTATGGTGTTTATATCCAGGTTACATTAGCGTCAGTTATGTATATGGTGAGGTTAAGTTGTTTCCCTGGTGTTAGTACATGGCTTATCACAACGGCTATGGTTTAACACAACAGTATGGATTAACACAACGGCTATGGCTAAACACAATGGGTATGGCTTAACACAACGGCTATGGATTAACACAACGGGTATGGATTAACCTAAAATCCTAAAATTTGCTGGATGACCACACAACCAAAATTCAGAGCTAGATCCACAGGCTGATAGCATCTTCTAGAATCATGTTTCTACCGGGTACATCTCATTTCCACCAACACGCCAGCAGCAGCCTAGGTCCCCGGGCCAACACATAAAGAGGCCAAAATATCCATAAAAGAACTCAGTGCTTTATTAGACATATAAAGTGAGTTACTGGTATTATAATAATCATACATACCTGCATCATTAACTTTCCAATCACTAATAACGTTATAATTGTTCATAATTATAAACGAGTTTCTGTCACGCAAGTTTGTTTAGAAACATTTGAGTTTGACAGTCACTTGACAGTCTGAGTCGTGAGTCCTAACATGAGCAATGAATTTGTTAATGTTAATAAACTGATTGGCTTTTATATTATAGTGTATATCCTTGTTAGAAATGTTAATGAGCGTTGGTGGTACAGTGAGCAGTGGTAAAGTGTACTTCTCTCACTAATGTGTCCTGGGTTCGAATCTCAGCTCGGTACTAACACTGGACAATTAAGTTTATAACAGTGTAACAGAGGCAGAGACCAATCGCTTGAACACCTAATAAACATTAAATTCTAATCACTCAGAATATACCGCCCTCATATCTGAGGATTGGCGACCACAGTCCTCCACTCTAAACGATTTTGAGCCATTTCAGGATGAAACAGCCAGTTTCTGCCCTCCCTTGGCCCTCAACTTTACCCATTAATGTTTGTTATTATCTCCTCGTCCCTAGTTATATGACCAAAGCATTTTTTCCTGTACATTTCAAGGACAGTATTTTTCTTGAAGTTTTTGCTGATCTTAGTACAGGTACTTCATTTGCTATCCAGTCAGTGTAACTTAATTTAACATACGCCATTTCAAAGGCCTCTAACCTCTTTATGCTGCATGGTAAATGCTATAAATACGATTATGCGGTGTGTCTGCATAATAGTGTGTGGACCAAAACTTATAGTGGCACATAGGGAGGTTTGTCAAATAATTAGGTGTAAATTTCCAGTACAGTACAACAGCCTTCCCAGTCTGAAGTGGCTGGATGGGTCCTTGCTCTTTCCCAGAAGATTTTAATGGACCATTGACACAATCTTTTTCTCCATTCACTGAAGTTCCTGCCTGATTTTATTTTTCATGGCCTCTTTTCGCGAGAGTAGGAATATTTGCCGGACAGGGAAACTCCCCAACTACTGTCCCACGAAACGCACACCTCATCAATCTCCGCTGTGCTGCAAATGACGTCGACAACACTGCTGGACCTGACCCTTCATTGTCTATATATCACTCTGTATTCACACACACAAAGTACAGTAGATCACATGACTGCTGAAGAGTGAATAATGCCAGAGTACACTTGCATTCACCGTAAAGGTTTCATTACTTTATTATGATCAGTCAGCTGTTTTATAGAATTGTCCCTTCCCGAATATTTCCTTTGGCGTTGGCTGTCACGCCATATGCTTACAGCATTTCATGTATTTCAAAGCAGGATAATGTGATATATGCATACATACTTACGAGGTCGCTCTCATGTTTCTGATGTGCGTACATGTTTCACTCTAACAGAGGGGACTAAATAAAAATGTAAACAAAACTTATTTAATCAAACAAAACAAATAACAACCTAAAAGTATAAATACTACAAACTCTTTATGATCACATACGTCGAGAAGACTTTATGTTCTCCTCAAACACTTTCTTACAATAAGTTAAAAAGAGATTATAAATAAGAAAAACTTCCTGAATACGGTATAGAGTAAAAGGGTGATGGGTGATTGATTATTGGAACCATTTTTGTAACTATGATTGGCCAAAGTACAAGAATAATTACCGACGAAGAAGAAGAAGAAACAGGAAAACGGTCCCCATACCTTGGCATGAGACTCAGAAATAGAAGAGAGCATTTGACGATGACCACGATAGTCAAGGGAGGGCATGCACTCACTATGCCTTCTTCCTTGATGAGTGGAAGTTAACGTGCACCTGAGGAAGAGAATGATAATTAACTCAATGTTCACAGTTAGAACTCTATCTCTCATAACTTTGTTACTGTTGATGGAGTATAGTGTAATTACTAACATTGTTACAAGCTTAAAGACCTTAGTTGGTGACGTGCAGTAATAACATGATAACGTCAACATCACAGTTCTCAGCTAACATAAAATGGCGTAGATAATGACTAATCTTTAAACTGAAATTAACTACTCCACGATACTTAATAAGAATTTCAATATAACGCCTTAAGAGATAGGAACAGTCATTAACCAACTCGATCACAAAAATCTATGTAGCAACTGTACTCAGCCGACGAGTTTGTTATGGGCATCGGGACTGAAATGTTTTAAAATAAATTTAATTCAATTAAATTCGGTTTTATTTACAAATAAAACTGCAATATGTTATCTCATAGAACACACCATGCAAACATAAAACGATAATACTTACTTATACAAATTTATTTACAAATAAAGTAGACTGTGAGGGTCCATTACTTCCGTAATGTGTCTCTGCTTCATCACCAGAGTTAACAGACAGAGACCCGGACCCAGATAACGACAGCGACCCTGTAGGTTTGTTGAACAGGGAACCAAAGTTGGGCTTCGATATGGTGGGTAGTGAGGGTAAGACAGGCAGCTGTGGCTTGGGGAAGGTGGGGAGGGAGGGTGTGGGGAAGAAGATGCCAGGCCCAGGTTTGGGTGTAGTTTTGTCAGCGTCGTCAAGAGGAATGATAGCAGCTACTCCAGCACCTAAAGCTGTGGGTACGCTCTTCAGGCCCTGGAACTTGTTCACTATACTCTCTGACACTCCGAACCCAAAGTCATGAACCGCATTAGTCACCTGCCGACAAATAACAGTGATTGAGTGTACAGTATATATACAGTAGACCAATCTAAACAAAGAATTTTATAATATATTAGGTTCTCTATTAAATTGGTCATATTTTAAGTATTTTCATGAACTACAAGCTCGTCTATGCCCGTAGACTGTATGGGCATTCATAAGTTAATAGCCACATAGAAGTTATCGTTATTGGGTAATTATCCTTATTTAGTGTAGCTAGCATATATATATATATATATATATATATATATATATATATATATATATATATATATATATATATATATATATATATATATATATATATATATTAACGCGCCTTCTCACTGCTCTTAAACACGTTGTTACAAGTTAGCACACATTTTCAATACACTAGTCTGTGTTCACTGCACTAACCAAGTGTCGCACAAAAATGTGTGTTCTCACCTTCTTGATACCTTGGCCGATAGTCTTGATGAACTCTGGGTAGCGCAGGACCATCACCTCGGTCACGCTAGGTTTGGTGACCTTTTCCACCACTTCTGGTTCGTACGTCGTCGTCGTCGGCACCGAGTTGCCAAGAACTGGTTTAGGCCACCAGAATCCGAAGGGCTTGTTCTCCTGGTTGATGCTTACGTCGCCATGGATGTTGGCGTCAATGGAGGTAGTGGGTTTGGTCCAGATGGATGGAGTGAAGATTCCCGTAATCCAATCCCAGTTCCACAAAGGAGCAGGGTGCCACTGGCTTTAACTCTGGCGAGTGTCACCACTGGCAGGCCAGCACAAAGATGGGCTTCCCAAACACGGGAAGTATGGGGGTCTGGAGAGACAAGGGTGACGTTACTGAGGTCTAGGGTGGGGAGATGCGATACTGGGGTCTAGGGTGAAAGGTATGGGATGGGCGTTACTGTGGTCAGGGAGAGGGAGGGATCTTACTGTGGTCAGGGGAGAGAGGAGGGATCTTACTGTGGTCAGGGGAGAGAGGAGGGATCTTACTGTGGTCAGGGAGGAGGGATCTTACTGTGGTCAGGGGAGAGAGGAGGATCTTACTGTGGTCAGGGAAGAGGAGGGATCTTACTGTGGTCAGGAGAGAGGATCTTACTGTGGTCAGGGGGAGAGAGGAGGGATCTTACTGTGGTCAGGAGAGAGGGGATCTTACTGTGGTCAGGGGAGAGAGGAGGATCTTACTGTGGTTAGGAGAGAGAGGAGGGATCTTACTGTGGTCAGGAGAGAGAGGAGGATCTTACTATGGTCAGGGGAGAGAGGAGGGATCTTACAGTGGTCAGGGGAGAGAGGGATCTTACTGGTTGGGAAGGAGGGATCTTACTATGGTCAGGGGAGAGAGGAGGGATCTTACTATGGTCAGGGGAGAGAGGAGGGATCTTACTGTGGTCAGGGTTAAAATTTCTTGATCGGTGTCCAAAATAGGAGAGAAATATGTGGTGCGGGGGCGGCGGGGGAGGGTGAAGTGAAAGAAAATGGTTTTAATGGTGTTTGAGCAGAAAGAGAAGATGTCTTGTTGAGTTTGATAAGAGGGGAGATAGTCTGGTTGGCGTCTAAAGATTATAGAACTATTTTCAGGCATTGAGGAGAGAGGATCTTAAGTTCTGGAGTTATTTATTTATGGTTGACTATTCTGAGTGTTTTGGGGGGAATTAAATAGTCATCAAAATGTATGTTTCTTTTTTCTATAACTGTCTCTTGGTTATACTCACCCTCCACCTAAGGTCTGACTCCAGTATACATGTAATACTGTGTGGCTGTATCATAGTAGTGTCTCTACATCATATTATCTGGAGTATAAACAGAGGTCCTCGAATATAACCCCCTCTCTCTCTCTAACTATTTACAATTACATGAATACATTTATAGAAAGAAACATACTCGCGCACGGACACACGTGTTAGGTTCTTCCTACAACAGCCACGTTATGACTCACATTATGGCCTGAACCACCACCGGTGACAGTGACTCCCTTGTTGAGGCTCACTGAGATGGGGAACTGCTGCTTTCTTCACTCTCACTGACCGCGTCCCTTAGGTTCTTGTTTGGTCTTCTATTGGACTTAACGGAGTTATCGCCCCTTCTGCGTCCCTCCTCCTGCAGCACCTCGACGGGCTCTACCGACTTGCTGCCGGTCAACTCACCAGCTGCAGCAGGGAGAGGTTAAGGGTCAAGTGTACAGTGTATGCATCTAGAGTAAGGATAAAACAGTGAAGGTTCAGCACACTATATACTAAGCCTTTGTTACCGAGAGACAGAGCGTGGCCGGCACTGCACTAGACTACTAATGTTAGGTAGGTATCCATTTACATCAGTACGGTATGGTTAAGGTATACATGCAGGGTATACATGGTAACGCTTGCACTCTACACAATTAAGACATAACAAAGGCTTGAGATATAAGTTTGGTAACATCTGGTATTTTCTAATCGACTTCAGTACTGGAACCACAAGCATTATGACAAGAAAGTTTTCCTCCAGCTAAAATGCTCTCAATTATACCCCACTGATCCTCTAACCAACGAGAAGCACGAGAGAATAAATAGTCATTTGTGTTTGGCTGTCACCACACAACACAGTCTTTCATGTGGGCGCCATGTTGGTTCTGAGTACGACTAGTTTGGCCACTCAAGAACCACACTCAAGTAGTACTCAGGAACGACACCCAGGATCACTCAGCAACCACACATGAGAATTACTCAAGACCCACTCAAGACCCCACACTCACCTGGCAGCAGCTCCGGGTACTCCCCCTGAGGAGTGTCCCAGAACCAACCCAGGGCACGACTCCCCATCCCCAGGGCTCCAGACGCCGCCTTCACCGTCGTTCCCGCCACCACCACCGTCACCACATGAAGTAACAGCATCATCAGCTGCTCCTGTAAGGTATAGGGAGAAGTCAAATTAAAAATGGCGGCGGAAGGAAATAGATGAGCGCAGGTAAAGGTATACTGTACTTAATTCATATTATAAGTTATGCTGTACTGTATTGCTATTTAAGTTACGTATTGTATTCAATGTGTAAAGATAATTTATTATGTACCAATATGGTGAACAATAACAAGATCCAACGTGATGAACAATAACAAGTTCTAACATGATGAACAATAACAATTTACAGCATGGTGAGCAATAACACCATAATCCTCTTCGTAATAACACCCCTTGGCTATAACAACATACGGTACACTGTAAGATACACTGTTCTACACCATCATCAGTATACAGTATGATGAAGGCTGTCCACACCACACTGATGGGTGTATATCTTACGGCTCCACACTGACAATGTTTACAATTATGAATCTTTCTGCGACTTGTGGTCAATAAAAGATCTTTGTTTACATTATTGGATGGTGATTTTATTGTTATTCGCAGTGGGGCGGGGCACGATGGGGTGGGGCACAGCGGAGCGGAGTGCATCGGGGGCGGAACGGGGCACAATGGGGTATAGTGGGGTGGAACGGAGCACAGTGGGATGGAACGGGGCACAGTGGGTGACGGGCACAGTGGAGGACGGGGCACAGTGGGGTGGGACGGGGCACAGTGGGGTGGAACGGGGCACAGTGGGGTGGGACGGGGCACAATGGGTCGGGATGGGGCACAGTGGAGTGGTACGGGGCACATAGGGGGGACGGAAAAAAAGGCTAAACTCCCTTCAGAAAGTCAGTCATTCAGGTTTAGCATTCATAGAGCTGACTGACGTAACTAAAATCTTTGTAGCATCAGTAATTTCAATATATCTTGTTTATGTGAAAAATGTTGGCAAGTATTAATATTCGTGTTTGCTTCAATACTCTTGTTTAATAGGAAATTGTCTTGTTTAACTGAATACTTCCTTTGTTTATCCGCATAACCCTGTTTATTCGAAGGCTTTTGTTTAGCTTAATAGTCTAACCTTTGTTTATACCGAAAGTTCTTATTTGCCTTTAAGTCCAGCGTGAAGGAGTGAAGGAATGAAGGAGTGAAGGAGTGGGGAGCCTTTTAAAAGTCTTCCTCCTTCACCAGCCCACGAGAGGTCCAGCTGGGGTTAATAATCCTCTTGTTTTGTTTACTTGTTTATCTTTTTTATCCTGACTATATGTACTGTTTTAGTTTCTAGGTCTGTGCTTAAGAAACTACAAAGAATGATAGTGATTAAAGCAGGTATAATCAAGGGGTCGAAAGATGTTATAATCAAGGGGTCAAAATAGTATAATCAAGGGGTCGAAACATGTATAATCAAGGAGTCGAAACATGTTATAATCAAGGGGTCAAAATAGTATAATCAAGGGGTCGAAACATGTATAATCAAGTGGTCGAAACATGTTATAATCAAGGGGTCAAAATATGTATAATCAAGGGGTCGAAACATGTATAATTGAGAGGTTGGAGCTGGTACAATTAAGGGACTTTAACGGGACAATAAGAGATGATCCGTGTAAAAAAGTATATTCCACGTCGATCCCAGTAACGTTCTCACGGCACTCAGGCGGGTGGGAGTAACGCTGTATAACCCTCACCTTCCACCTACGTTCTAAGACGAGGTATTCAAAGTGATGATAAACGAGGAAATATTTATGTATCTATCAAATATTAACCTTCACTGAGAGTATCAAAGTAACACTCGTTTACATTAGCCAAAGACAACCTTGCCCTAAGAAAGACAGCAGCATGAAAACGAAAACTTGGATTGCTTTGGGGTATGTCGACCGCCTTTTTAGAGCTTATGTTACGTATGATCAGAGGATGTCCACTTATACAACAGAAACGAGAAATTCCTGATTCTGTCGCGGAGACACATGATACTGGGATATATTTACTGCTTACTGACTGTTTGTTGTTTATGAGTTCAGTTAAAAGTGAACAGATACAAAGATATTAAAACAGCGGCGCTACACGGCCGCTACTGTAGTATTGTCTCGTTCTTGAGGTGCGAGTGTCATATGGTCCTTTACACCTAACAAGACACAGTTTTTATTTTTAACCTTCTATCAGTAATCTATCTGTTCACTGTTCTACTAACACACTAATTCATCTAATTATCCAGCTGTGTAATTTTTCAACCATTATTCATCACACCATCCAGCACCGTGCCTGCCAGTGACACACATAAACAAACCAGCCCGCCAGCAGGATCAAGAACGGGGTCGTGCGGCGCCCGTCCCACTAAGATCATCCCAACAAAAAACACTTGTGGGTCATAGACCGGGTTGTCACACCTTCCTACCTCTGTTTTCCTCTCTCAAACTTGGGAAACAGGATAACGTATCTACTTAAACTCGATTCACGCAGTGGTTTTAACGCCTCTAAGCCGTCAGATCTGTGTCTTAAGTTACACCAGTGAGTTACAAGCGTCCGCGGTCAAGGATCTTCATTTCGAGGAGAAAGTTAACCAACGAACCACAAAGAACTCGTGATCAAGAGCCACCAACAAGATTCCAAAAGTGGTTCTTCCTGATGCCTCGCCCACGGGGTGTCATCTGGCCGTCAATGTGATGGAACATAAACATCAGAATCACCTAGCACTTGAGGCTGGTGTTGGTAGACATGATCAGGTAGGTAAACATGGTTAATTCTGCCGCTTATACCATGTGTGTTAAGACAAAGTAAACTTAGCTGCAGGTAATTTTAAGTTAGAGAAGAATAAATCGTGTCCATTGAACTTGACTTGGCAGTTTCACCTTCCCAATAAGACGAAGTAATAATAAGATAAATAATTACCAGGCACTACACAAAATGAAGCGTGTTATCTAGAAGCATA